AAAAGGTATTTGATTATTCAAAATAAAACTTGAAAATGGAGCTTATTATGCTTTATTTATTTATAATGAAGAGAAATGGTTATGGATTAAATGTGAATGATTTTACTTTATCGTGATTCAATAAATGCTGAGAAGTCCTACAATAGGATGAAACGGTCATCCAGTGCTTTCAGGTTTTCCATAGTGGTCCAGCTTCAATAGATTCATGATCTCAATTATTGAAATGTTTATTTGTTTATTTATAGTTTGAAATTCCTAACAGGTTGCATTTATGGACTGTAAAAAAATTTCAAGTGTTTACCTGATGGTTAATTTGTGCTGATAATAAGATTTTCTGCTAATAGTTGATCAAAAAGATCAATCTATTGATTCAAAGTATATTTGTATTATTATTAAAGATTTATGTTCCTTTGAGTGGATAAATGGTTTATTGTTGAAAAGATATGTACTATTCTCAAAAAGGTGGATGTAAATTTTTCTTGCTCAAAAACCTAAAGATAATTTTATGGAAATAATTCCTAAGATACTGTTTCACCTTAGGAACATATTTATAACAATTAGTCTAGCCAATAATAACTGACCAACAGCATGTTTGTGTGACGTTGGTTTCTACTGAAACTATTTTATTAGACAAAAATGACCGGCGGTTTAAGCGCGAACCGATTGAACGATTAAAAACAGTTTAGTTAAACAGAAATAATTAATGACTGTAATACGGAACTAAACTACTTAAAAAGTGCAATTTTATTAGTGTGATTAGCTATTGACAGTCATTACTATTCGGCATGTATGATAAAATTCTCAGTTTAACTATGGAATGAATGCTGTGCTTGATGATAAATTTTACAATGTAAATATTCACAAATGTCATATCAGTTAAGCGGTTAACATATGAAATTTGTACCCTAATATTCAAGAGTTAATTTTCAACTTCCTTACTAATGGAAATGAAATACGATTGACCCTGTTTTCTTGTAGAATACGTTTTATTTACTATTCATTTAATAATAATTAAAGTCCACTGATTGCAGTTCGGACAGCAATTTTATCTTTCACACTACATAACAGATCATTCTCCGATTACATGATCAAGTCATCTTTGGTATACTGGAACGATCACTTTGAAGAATTCCAATTACTTTATTAAAACTTTGAGTTTAGTTCTGCTATAGTGAATCGACTATATTTTTTCAAAAAATCAAAAAGAATCAACTTGATAAAATAAACGCTGCTAAAATGGATATTGAGATGGTGAAGAAGATTTCTATCTCAGGTTCTCTGAACTAGTTAGTTTGATCGTGGAGCTTCTTCTGAACAAGCAGCTTAGAGAACAAAACTTCAATAAAATACATATCATTTCTCATTTACAACAATACATGGTCTTTCAATAAACATATTAGAATTATACCATATAATATGGCCAATCAATTGTACAATAGAAACTATTCCAACTGTTCTATCATAACATCTAACTAAATAATCATCTCATATACATTGAATAGTTTTACATCACTATGTTATTATTGATTTGGCATGAATATTAAAAAGAAATGAGGTTTTAAAACAAAAATAAATAAATTTTTGTATTAAATGAATATAATAAACATTTGAACATTATTGTTTGTTGTACAAAATGTATAATTGAAAAATTGAATATTGAATTTCAAATGAAATGGAAAATGGAATTAAACATAAAATTAAACTATTAAATTATCCTAATAGTTTATATAGTTAATCTGGTGTTAACTATTATTAACTTAATAAGGACATGTTTATTGACTTGACAAAATCTTCTATTATCCTAATAAACTCTATTGTTCTATTGATCATTCATGATAATGTTCAATTAAAGATTTATACATTCTAGTATTTCTGCCAAGAGATTAGATGTACAATTATGAAGAAATGTATACATTTATCAATAAAAATCATTACGTCACAGCCTTATTACTACAGTCTAATCTTGAATTTAACTTGTGATATAATGAAAAAGTTAAACAGAAGGATTGAGGTTTTATTGATGCTGTATATATACTATAGAAGTATAGAGTTTGTAACAAGTAGGAGTTATAATTTGATAAAATCATTTTCGTCTCATTGTCTACAAGAAATTAAGTATTAATTTAAGACTTTACTCAATAGTGTTATAATCAATTGTTTGTTATTTTGGGTGTGGGCATATATGTGTGATTTATGAACTATAAAGATTGTAACAAGTAAAAAAGTTCTCTTAGTAACAAATCTATAAATTGAATACAAACGTTAAGTCATTTAATAAAGTTTAAATGGATTATGATATTGTGCGTTAGTAATGATAAGAATATGAATTAAAAATAGATGCAATTATGTAAGTTAGTGAGCTATTATAAATAAGGAAGCATTAATGATATGTTACATACTGATACATAACTCCCTATTTCTATATACTAACGAGTACTTGATTGAATTTTCCCATTTCTGACATGATTTAACTTCACTGGTTTCAGCCAGTTAGTGAAACTTCAAGAATTGTATAATGTAGGTAGTCAGTAACGGGTAGATTAATATTCATAAAATGTTTTAGAGATATTTAGCATTTTAAACAGTTTTTATTATAAAATGATATGAGTTGAAAAGCTGTAGAAAGATTTAGGCAGGTTTTGTTTTCAAAGTAAGGATCAGTAAATTCCTGGATATGATTTAGAGGTTATATTCTTTAGTCTGTCAGTAGAGTTATAGTTAGTAATATGGCATTTTGTATAAAAAGTTCTAGTGAGAAGCCGTGACCAGTGGACTTCAACCAGGTCTGTGGTGAGATATCAACTCAATGAACACAATGTTGTGCAGTGGTGCGATTTCGTGGATTGGTTGAAGTTAGACATTAACACCGTTGCATGCAGGCTCAGTGGTTCAGTAGTTAAGCGCTGGCGTGCGAGACTATTAGGTCCTGTGTTCGAACCTCGCAGGGGGCAAGATCGTGTATGTGTACTGCTGAGAAGTCCAATATTAGGACGAAACGGCCGTCCAGTGCTTTGAGGTTTTCCATGGTGGTCTAGCTTAGATTGACTCATGATTTCAACTAATGAAATTACTAAAATCTCCACAAAACACCTTCAGTTAATTATTTCTTTTAAATAGGTTTTTGAGACAGTCTTACTGTTTTCAACTATCGCTAAACAATTAAAAAAACTTATTTGTTGGTAAGCTTTCATATAAACAATAACAATCATTTGTCATATATTATATTGTGTTGGGAAACTCTGAGAAGAAGGTGGCATAAATATAAGAAAATAATCTTAATCATTGATTAATAAAGTAGACGTTCATTTTGTTCTGAATCACTTATAATACAACATGGTTTCAACATTTTATATTATAGTTTATACTGATGAACATCAATTAGCTAGTACCTATCACATTTTGCTCTTCCAAATAGTGGATATATATATCTATATATGTGTTTATCAAAAGCTATGACATACCAGATTTATCGTTTTGATATTCTTTCTGGTCATTATACTCCAGGTAATCATTATTTGTTTCCCATTTGTTATTGTAGATACCGAATGTGTTTTTATCTATGAACTATACTTGGCAACTTTAGGAAGGAAAAGCCAGTTTAAAACGATTATTCTACACTTACTGACATAAAAAGTTGAATCGGGAGGAAGGAGTTCAGAATTAACTATATAAATAGTCAAGATACTTGTTTATTTAACTGAAACCGATTCCTGGTAGACTTTGCTGTAATCATTAATATCCCTTTTCTTTTAAAGTGACATGTTTGGGTAAAAGATTATTAAAAAAGATAACTATGACTTGAAATAACCACGGGTTGTAATAAAAAAAATATATCCAAAATCAACTAATCTCAGCAAAATTTTGACTAAACTTTATTTATTATTTTCATAAACTGGTGCCGGCTTTGGGATAAATGTTTCGACGTTTTAGTAAGAATCGATGACAAATGAACCTCGAACATGTTATAAATAGAACAATTACTCACAAACAGTATTAAATGATGGTTGGACATAACTCTGAATCTAAAAAAGTTAGAAATTACGCTAATCATGTTGTAACTCAGTGATACAAAGATTACATGCTTATCATGAAACCTGACTCACCTGAATACGATCTCTGAATAAACCGACGGTGAATACTTTACGAGCTTCATACTGTGATATAGTTTGTCCAGTTCTTTCTAGGTTTTAATGACAATCTAGCTTGCATCAGTTTGTGATAAAACTGCCAATGGAATGGTTGTGAAGTTTGTTTTCAATATGGATATGTTAGTCAATAAGTGACTGACTGTCATACTGTTTTGGTAAAGTAATTTTCATACGATTAATGTTCTTGATTTGCTTTTATCTATGTATGTAAATTTACGAGCTCAGTCAGTTGACCAGTAATTTTATCTTCTGAATAATGATCAGCTGAAATTCGGATATCGTTTACACAAGCTGATCATCAATCCGCTAATCTTAGTTATTTCAATGTGCTATGACATCATTAGAATCAGCATAACAAAAATAATAGGAATGAAATATGTATTACGTAATAAGTGAAAAGATATCGGAACATTCAAACTACTTAGTTAACCAAGGTATATTAACTATTCATTTAAAGATAATAACTTTGTCTTGAATTTCACTTCGGATTTGATCTCAACACATTATTATTATTATTATATTTTTCGGCCAATTAATAAAAATCACTATTCCAGATAACTTACCATTCAAAAAAAGTAGAAAATAGTTTTATCTATCAGATTATTTCTCGAAATTAATAAAAGAAAAACATGTGGGATAAAAGAGTTTTCTGATTAATCTTGACGCTGCAATTCTATTGGTTAAAAGTTTAAACCCCCCCAAAAAAAATATTTTTAAGAACCAATCAAATTGCGATTAAATATTCATTGTCAAAATGCAATTTGTTTTTGTTTGTTTTTTTGTTTTGTTTTAAAAGACAAATCAAATTCATCTGTATATGTTTGTAATTTATTCATTTTTATTTGAAATAAACATCCTTTTCATTTACAGAAGTTATTTAGTAAATTCTGTCTATTTTATTTTCTAAGCATTTTGAATATTCTAATTAGTTCTTAGGAAAAAAAAGAAAGAAATGAACATGAAAAATCCATTAGATTTTGAATTCAATACACAATTATTACCACAATATAAAGAATATCAATTATATTCAAATGATTTATGTTTACAAGAATTAAAACAATTCTATTATAATCAAACATGGTTAATTAATATCACTGAAGAAATTCATTCAACAATGGAACAATTAAATAGACCATGTGAAAAAATTCAACGTTTTGAATGGATGCTTGAACGTGAATATTTTGTTGCTATAACAATGGGTTTATTAGCATGTTTTGGATTGATTGGCAATTTATTAAGTTGTATTGTAATTATTCAATATTTATTAAAATTTTCTGAAACATTCATTCTATTTATATTTTTATCATTAGCTGATTCATTAGTTATTATTATGCAAACAATTGATGCTTATCGTAATTCTGTTGCAGTTGACTTTTATACATTAATTTCATTAGATGAAATTTCACATCCATCAAATATATGGCGACGTGATTGGAATTGTAAATTATTTTTATATTTTTGGCATTTAAGTTTACAACTTTCAGCATGGCTTGTTATGGCATTAACGGTTGATCGATATGCAAGTTTAAAACAAGTCTATATAACAAGAAGTAGACGTTCATTACATTGCCGTGCATGGTTAATTGGTGGAGGTATACTAGTCTTTTTAGCCTTTTTAAATCTACCATTTTTAATTTATGTGAAATCAGTGATTTACGAAATGCCATGTGGAGTAAGTGATTTATTGATAATGAAACATTTAAAAAAGTATATTTGATTTTTGTATTTACTTAACTATGTTTGTATAGATTTGTTAATGTGTTCATATTTGATAGTCGATTTGTTTATAATAATATTACAGATGTAATAATTGCCAAACATCCACGTAATATAGATAAAGGATTGACATAGATTAAGTAATAATCCATAGAGAGAACACTAAATAACTGGCGCATCCTTCTAAAAAGCTTCTCATTATTTCACACTCTAAACCCCTCTATAGTTTGAAACCAAGAATATCAAGTCCACATTAAGCATCCTATATTTAAACCAGTAAATTTACATCAACCGGTATATATTTTTGTCTCCAATCAATCTATGACAAGAAATCATAATTTATTCTTAGCATCAATAAATTACTGTTTCATTTTTGACATTTTTGAACTCCATCGGTCACAACTCTTTAACAGAATATCTAGAAGAAAAAAAACTAGCGAATAAACAATTTCCAAGTGTTTAAACTGACATATATTTGTCCTGATTTGATCGCATCTACAGTAGCTGATTAATTTTAGTAAATATCTATCTATTTTATATTCGAACAAGTATTTAGAGGATATGTTGAAAAACTATCTTCAATCCAATTAATAGCTTGAAATAGCACCTACATAAGCCGTAGACATTCGTATATACTTATTGACACAAGCTAGCCTACCTTTTAAAACGATGATAGCAAGTTGAAAATAGGTTTAAAAACGTCATTAACAACAACGCGATAGAACATTTATAGGTTAAGCTATTTAAAAAAACTTAGAATTGTGTTAAAACTTATTTTAAGCCAAGTATACGCTTTCCATGATTTTTTTATGATAGCTATCCATCATCATGAAAGTAAGTTGTAAATTCAATAAAGTCGAATGTACTTTATGTAAATGATTTGAAGAAAAAAAGCAGTTTATAGGTATTTGTAATGTCATCTTGTATATTATTGTTTTCTTAGATTTATAGAAATTAGAATTTAATTGTTGCTATGAATCGACATCATTTAAACAAGCATTGGAAACCAGTAACCATTGGATTATTTGTTTGTTTTTGTTTTCTCTTCGTGAATACTTAACCGCATAAAAGGATTAAAGTTGACAATCGAAAGATCTTGCTAAACGCATTAGACTAAGAAGTCTTAAGGCTCAAAATTAATGTTAAACTTAACGATTATTTAAGGAGTTTTCCAATAAAATAATAATATTATGACTACTACGGACAAGTAATGAAATGTATCGGTCAAAGGAGGCAATGATTTAGAACGTTAATTTTGTTAGAAATGAAGCAGTAATTCACTGATAATGATGAATTAGACTACCGTTTTGAGTATGAACTTTAAGATAACAGATTAGGAGTTTAAAAGTATCGTATATATATAGTAATGCACGATAGTCGATGGCTGAATGCAGTATGCGGATGAAGGAATGAGTGAGTACTGTTTTTAAGAGCGAAAAATAGTGAAAAAATAATTGTGATCTACTTCTCGCTTTTCAATCTTACTCCATCTGATTTCAGCAATTGAAAAAGTTATCTTCAGACTATATGATGTTTTTACCGAGTGCTTTAAAAAGGTTTATATGATATGGTCAGGTGAATTTCGTCTAAAGAATAAAATTAATTCTTGACTGACTTAATAATATGTCATCATCTTAATAGTGAAATATCTATGGTTTTTTTTCATAAGACCTGCTAATTTCACATCATTAATAATTAACTGTGAATATCTCAGCCCTACAGAAGGTCATCCACAGCTCGAATAGTTTAGTACAAACGTTTCAGACTGTAAAGCTGAGTGATTTAAATTTTTATAACATAGAAGACATCAATAGTATTAAGATTCCAGATTCGACCTAGTAATGAACGTTAGCTAGCATGAAATCTGGGTCCAGGATTTCTTACTGACTTTTTTCAACCATTCAACATCTTTACATAAGAGCGACAAAGCTGGAAACTATTGATATCAATGCTATTGTAACCCAAAATCACATAATCCAATAGAGATAATTTTCTAACCCCAACAAAATCATATGTTGATTTAAAATAGTGAATTCATACAAAGAGTGAAATCCAGTGCTTTTACTTTTCCTACGCAAAAGAAATCAAGTAATTTCTTGACAATCAGGACTCACTGTTAGCAGAAAATCATTTGACTTTTAACTAGAATTTAACATAATTTGATTTATTCTTGTATATTTTGTAAACCTGTAAAAGCAAAGTGTTAATATAACAAAAATAGGTTTATACGATAGATTTCAAAGTAATCAAATTAATAAAAGTGATTTTGAAAAATTGATTTTTCTATGTTGTTGATTTGAGATAACAGATTCTAGTTCAAACATTCATCCAGATGTAAATGGTGAATTTATTTTAACAGAAATGTTTTATAATCAATTTTTAAATAGGTTGAACTTTATATAAGATATCCCTATTATGGTTAAGACAGTATGCACCGACAATGCATGTAATATATATATATATATATATATATATATATATATATATACTGCTATATTTGTATTTAAATAGAACATTGATTAACAATGTTCTTTGGCGATTTTCGTCATGTACTGACGTCAGCAGGTAAACTAGTGTATTTTTAATCGTTTCTTCTTTAATCTACTTTCATTTACTATCCGAGATAACGATGGACTTAAAAATTTCATTGGTGAATGTAGTAAAAATAATCACTGAACTTGGTCGATTAATTTCATTAGTGACTGTAAGAAATGTGTACTTTTAGATTATTAACTATATATTACCCAAGATTTATGTGAGATTCTCTTTAGTGAAATATCTAATCCTTTTTTTTTCCTTTTGTGTTATTAATTAGTTCTAATCAAGAAAAAATCTAATTATTTTAATTAACTAAATGGCATTTTCAAAGTCGTATAAAACCCATTAGTTGAATGAAGAAACTACATTTTTTTTGTGATTCATGTTTATACTAATTATTGGACAGATAAATTTCAGCATTATTTATATCATTTTACATTAACTGGGCAAGCTAAATAAAATTGAGATTTTTATATAAAAATATCCATTATAACCATGTTATGATATAACAAACGTATATACGATGCTTAGTTTCTGAAAATAGCTGCACAGAAAAGTATAAAGTAGCTAACTGAAATTAAAAAATCAATCGTAATCAATGATTTAAAACATTAGTTGATTTCAAAAGTCATATTTAAATAGTCTCATCAATTGACATTCAAATAATGTCGATGTTTCACGAAGCAACTCGATGTGAGCTTCATCAAGGAAATAATTAAAATCAAAATTATCGAAGAATATTTAAGACATAATAATAAAATCATGTTCAGTCTATGTACTGTAACATTACTCTACACAAAATGAAAGTGATCAGACAAGCTTTTATGTGTAATTTCGTCATTATATCTAATATGTTCTTCAATAATTTTGATTTTGATTATTTTCCTGATGAAGCTCAGATCATAGGGTCGGATGAAACATCCAAATTATTTTAATGTCAATCTCTGAGATTATTTCAAATCTAATTTACGCATTTGATGTCTTCCGTATACTGAACGCTTGATTTCTATCTATTTGTTTGAATTTTAACGAATGTTCACATAAATAATTGAGGATAGTTCACAAAGCAACTAATCCAAAAACACATAGAAATCTAATAATTCTCATTTAGTGAATATTACCCAATGAAATTCTGAATTACTTATCTCATATACCATATTTCAACTTATTTTTATGATTTCATAGTAAACATTGCATCACTACGATTTCCATTTTTTAAAAATTTTCTATTCTTAAATGCTCATTTTCTTTTGGCGGGACATTTTAAATGTTTAAAATCATTTTATGGTTATCTATGGTGTTAATGTAACCTTCCATCTACACGTTTACTAAATAGTTCAATAAAAAAATAAAGTAACAATAATGAAAAATTGAATTTTAAAACAATATTTGGCAACGTTATTTAATCATAACAGACAAACACAATTCAAATCTATCTACCTATTTATCTATCTATCTATCTATCTATCTATCTATCTATCTATATATATATATATATATATATATATATATATATATATATATATATATATATATTCCTTTAAAAATAAACTGTAGTCTAATTTCACACTGTCCACATCCTCTAATGTTTCATGTTTAAGTAACATTTTATTTCATAAGTCCTGAGATAAACATGATAGATTTGAAACTATAATGAAAACAATAGAAATATTGGTTGCACTCATTACAATTTGCTCGATATCAGAGAACTTTTATTTCTTGTCTTATTCTCTACACTTAAACAGCATTTGGATAATGATACATTTTCGTATACAATGGTTGATATTACAAAAAATGTTTAATTTTATAATTTAGGTTTTGATTTCATCATAAAAATAGGATACAATTATCTGTTATAGATGTCTGTTATAGTTATTAGATGTTGATCACTTACTACTATTGTTAAGAACGAAAGAATCCTGGAAAATCGTATAAATTAATCTAAAAATAATGAATAATGTTAAACTAATACATTTGTAGATAATGTTAAAAGATTTCGTAATTTATGCTGTTAATAGCTATGTAGTGTAATTTGAGGATGCATTGATATCAACAGTAGATTCAGTAAAAATTCGTGAACAATGAACAACCATTAGCATTTAATTTGGTACTCCATAACCATTCATATATGTAATCCTATACAAACTAGAACCAATATTTTTTGTTTGTTGAGAGGAACATAGCGGTTTGTTGGCAGAGGGGATTCGAACCCAGGATATTCGGCTTAATGCACTAATACCCAACCTATAGACCATTAAGCCGTCACTTGACATACTGCAAAGTCGTGTATGAAGGAAAGCTGAGAGACGCATTCCAACTAAGGACCGGAGTCAAACAAAGCTGCGCACTCTCCTCCTATCTCCTTCTTTTGGTGGTTGACTGGATTCTGAAGACCTCGATATCTGACGGAAAACACGGAATAAAATGGAAAGATTGGATGCAACTAGACGATTTGAACTCGGCAGATGACGGCTTTTCTATCCCATACACAGCAACAACTGTGAGTCAAGACAAACAGTGTAGAAGAAGTCTCTGCATCAGTAGGCCTCAACATACATAAGGGAAATAGAAAGGTCCTCAAATAAAACAGGGAGAGCATCAACCCAATCACTCTTGATGGAGAAGCTCTGGAAGATGTGGAATCTTTCACGTACGGGGAAGCATCAACGATGAATAGGGAGGATCTGATGCAGACGCAAAGGCGACAATCGGCAAAGCAAAGGGCCGCATTCCTACAATTGAAGAACATATTGAACTCAAAACAGTTGTCTATCAACCAACACCAAATTCAGAATCTTCAATACGAACGTCAAGGCAGTTCTACTGTACGGAGCTAAAACTTGGAGAATTACCACAACCATCATCAAAAAGGTACAAGTATTTATAAACAATTGTCTGCGCAAGATACTCAACATCCATTGGCCGGACACCGTCAGCAACAGCCTACTATGTGGAAGAACAAAACAAACCAGCTTCTAGCTGAAGAGGAAATTAGGAAAACGCGCTGGAAGTGGATAGGACAGACATTGAGGAAATCAACAAATAGCATGACGAGCCAATCGCCAACCTGTAATCCTGAATGTAAACGGGAAAGTGGAAGGCCAAAGAACACACTACGTCGAGAATTGGAAGCGTACATGAATAGGATGAATAGTAACTGGAAAGCACTGGAAAGGATTGCCCAGGAGGGGGTTGGATGGCGAGTGCTAGTGGACGGTCTATTCTCCTTGACGAGGAGTAGCAGGCGTAAGTAAGTAACAGGAACATGCTATCATGAACTACAAGACAATACGATACCTTCACTTTCATTTTCCTACTCCACTTTTAAATTGGAGAAAATGTCTGTATATATATACATCAGATTTGCGTTTTAAAATGAAAACGCCTAACTGGTTTTTAATTACTGAATATTTACATATTCAATGTCGATCTATCATGACAATTATCTTCTGATTTCACAAGGCATGTATTTTGTACATATCAATATGCCAGCGATAATAACCTTAACTTAATTACCATGACTTTATATGACTGACAAGGTATTTGCTGTGATCCAATGCTATTTAAAGAAAAAAACTTTTTAAATAACTATTATAATTTTGAGTAATTAACTTGACTACTTATTGATAAACAAGTAGCTAACTTTAGAAAAGTATATTCAAAAAGCTGTTATTGCGAAATTTGGGTATCGGACTAACCAAAAACCAACCACGATTTTCATATTCAAAAGGTAACTGTTTTTATGTTGAGTGATAAAATCTTTGAGCTATGATTTCCATGATTAATGGATGGTGACATTAAGTGGTGTAGGTGCATTTACTCTTAATCTGTCTCTAGATCCTGAGTTTTAGATTTAATTTATACTTTTTATCCCTTTTTTAATCGTATTCTTGATTTTACTGTTAATGCAAAATCTACCAATCTGCTTTTCATTTTGAAACTCTCATTTTAACATGCTGATATGATCTGTAAGGTTTACATCTGTGATAATTTTATACGTTGCTTACGACTGTACGAACAATGATTTGGCTACTAAATGGAACTCTGTCATTATGCTTTTACAGATCATCATGGAAACCTTTAAATTAGACAAAGTAGAATTCAGTGTAAATTACAATTTTGTAATTATTTCAAGCATGTTTCGATTAAATAACTTTGCAAATAGAATGCTGATCGATTTGTAATACTGGCATGAATTTGTTAATTTTCTACATTAAATAATAGTTGCCAAAAAGATAATACTGCAAATACCGTACTTTTACAGTTTTCTCATAAAATAAACCAGGATAATTAAAAATGATTCTCAGTATAGTCAACTGTCAAATTTTTATATCCGTTTATTGAGAAGCTAATAACCTTTTAATTATAAGAAATGTCGGGCATTTCATCTGGTAAAATGACTAATGTTAGTGAAGATTCAGAAAAAAATAAAACATTCCATTTTATTAACTTGTTCATAAATGACAACGAAGAAAACATGACTAGTAGAAACTAATTTATCATTGTGATTATATGATTCTAGAAAACCATTGAAATCACGTGTACTTAATAAATTAGTTAGTAGGTTTGATTTGTTTTTCATAGTTTGCATTAAGTACTTAATTAGATCAGGAAGAAATGAACAGATGTTTCAGTTGAGTATGGATTGTTTCGCATGGCTCGTACCTGTCCAAGATAAGCGTTAATTCGAGGATATTTACAATTTTCGATAAGTGCTTAACGTTTAGAACACTGAGCCAGTCTCAGTGGTTGCATCAAGTATTCTCTGTTATAAATTATTTGTAATGAAAATGGAAGCCAGTCTTTCAAGTTAATTAACAAGTTAAATAAAATCTAGCTTTGGAGGAGTAATTACATTAATACAGGTTAAGCATCACTTAAAAAAAGTTATCCTCTTTATAGTTTGAGTGTTATAATCCGATGATTCTGAAAGAAGATAAGATCACTTATGATTGTATTACCCATAAATCACACCTTCTTTACAAGAAGCAAGGCCCTCAAAAAGTTGTACAATCCCACAAGAACTTGAATATTATTATGTATCATTTGAATGTGGACGGGGCAGGCACAATACATTAAAGTTTTCCAAGCGTATCATTCACGATTTTAGTAGCAATTCGATGTATTCAATTGCTGTATTCATTTTTTAATTTTCCAGCACAGTCATTTCTGTATTTTTATCAATCCAACTGAAGAAAGAGAGCTGACAGGAGATATAGAACAAACAACTTCATCAAAACAAATACAAACTGATGAATTCGAACATTTATACGATCATTTTGTCAATGGTACATTATTATTATTTAGTAATCAATCATTTGAAATGAATCAAACTACAGATTGTAAACAATTACTTGGACTTCATAATTTATTTAGTGAATTAGTAGAAACAAAGCAATCGAAATCATCACTATTTTCTATTGCACGTAACATTAGCATATGGTTAAGTCATCAACATTTAATCATTTTTGGATTTATTCCTTATACTGTTACTATTATATTTAATGTCTTATTAATTCATTACTTGAGATCATTACCATGGTTTCATCCAAAACAAAAATGTGGTAATAAAGTATGTTTTAAAAAGAATACAAAATATAATCCAAAAATATTAATGAGTTTAAACAAATGTTGTATGTCCATGTTTCAACGATCTGGCAAATGTAAATCTAAAAAAGAAGAAAAAATAAAATCATATAATCATCAAATTAATATTGAGCAATCATTAATTCCATGTAAATGTATATTACATTCAGAGAATAATCCAGTTATTATTGGTACAACATGTTCACATTCATTAAATAAACGAAAACAAATTCATAAATTTGTTAAAATGTTTGATAACAATAATCATAATCAAAATATAATTACTATGTATTGTCCAATATCTAATCATCATGTGATATCATCATGTATTGGACCGCATACATGGGATGGTACATTAAACAATTATAATGATGATAACAATAATAATAAGAATAAAATGAAATTAAAACATTTTCAATCTTCAACTCTAACACCTTCAAATAATTCAAGGTATTCATCTTGTGTTTCAATAAAATTGGATAATTCACAAATTCGTCTATGTTCTCAGCATTTTGATGATGATGATGATGATGATGATAATGTTGATAATGATGGATGTCGAAATCGTGATAAAAATATTGATAGTGTGCATTATTATTCACAATCCAAAAATGGTTGTAATTCATTGTCTAATAGACAAAATACTGATATACATATTTTACTACATAAATACAGATCAAATTCAGTGAAAACAGGATGGTTTGTTGGTCAAAGACGTACAACTATTTTATTATTAGTTGTAACATTTACTTTTGTAGGATTAACATTGCCATATTTAATTTACGTTGAATTAAAACAAGTAAGTCATTCCGAAATGAATTGCAAAAAATCGTACCACTTTTTACCTGTATATGTACTGATCCTCAAAAAATTCATTCTAAAGATCATACAATTCAAATGTCTCAGCCGTGATATATTTAATTGCGTAAATCTTCATCAGCCAGTACTGATCGAGACATTTCTTCAAATAGAATCACACTTTATAAATGCGAGAACCGAGCTAAGATCCGTCGGTCTCGCGCGTGGAGGTTTGTCCTCTAGACCACTTAGCCGTCATTCAACGGTACTAATGTGTAACTACAATCAATGCATGATGGATGAACACTGTTTAGTAGTCACATGCCAGAAAGAAACTTTCTTCGAGTACTAAAAGTTTTTAAGCAATAGTCTAAATAAGATCAGTTTATGATTCAAACTAAATATGCTGGTAATTATAATAACATTAATTAGACTTCGGTTTTTCTTTTCATTACATTTTTAAAGAAGTAGAAGTTTAACTTTTAACAGATAACCACTTTAAATCATTAAAAATGCCCATTTTGTTGAACTTATTCTGCGGTCATTACTGAGGTATACATATAAAGACGAATGTTGTCTTACCTGACTATAGTTGTCTTTATTACTGACATATAATATTCTTAATGTAATTATACTACAATGAGTTTATTATATATACCTAGCACATATAATAGGTACACCAATGTCACGAATTCCGATCTCTGCTATTTTCAGTCAAAAGCTTTACATTTATTAATAGTAGAAGCTTTGTAGATAAATTCTTTGAAATTAAAATATGAAATCAAATTGATGAGTTATCCGACGATTAAGTATCATGATACTGGTCATATAATTTAGTAATTCGCAGTTGAATCAAGTTTTCCAAATACAGTCTATACTTTTAAAAGAATTAGATATTTCAATGTAGAAAGCTGTAATGATTATAAGTAAGCATAAATCATCGATCACCCTTTATATAAACAACTTCATACTATTGGAATTATACTTTCACATTTCTGGCAGCCTGAAAAAAGCTGAAAATACCTTTAACAATCAGTGCATCGTGAAAATTTTCGAAAACGTTCAGCAAACAACTCATTGTGTATTTCCTATAGTATCGAATGCCTCAAAGTAGACCATGACTCTATAAATACTCATTTTTCATATTCCCCATCCTATTTTCATTGAGTACAATAAAGTTAATGTCTTGTACGTTCAATACCGAAAAATGTGGTAAATTAAACTATTTTCGAATATTTTAAGATATTTTGAGTAATCTAAAGCCATATTTTTACATCAAACGATATGACTATAAACCAATGTGATAAATGTAAGAACAATATCTGTTTGTATACAAATGCATGCATTATATAATATTAAAACTATTAAATTAGGGTTTACCGATTTATATTTTAGTTACTTTCGATAAAGCACGATATGCTATCCATTTCAAAAATGTTACGTACTTAATGTTAGTTCACGATAAAAATCTAAACAGAGAAATGCTTAAAAGTAAATATTTGCCCACTATAAAATAAACACATTAATCTATAACTAGCGTTTGCTCATCATTTGTGTTTTGTGTATTCGAGTTGACTGCTATATATATAAAGAGATAAGGAGTGAATTAGATAAGAATACATTCAATGAAATCTAGGCATCAAGATTTATTATGATGATCACGAGATGAGCGATTATTAATTTGTAGGAATAAAAATTTCTTAACGATTAAATAATTTCAATGGTTAAGATCATGAATCAGTTGAAGCTAGACCACCATGGAAAACCTGGCCGTTTTGTCCTACTGTGGGACTTCTCAGCAGTGCGCATCCACGACCTCGCCCCCTGAGAAATTCGAACCCAGGATCTACTGGTTACGCGAGCGAGCACTTAACCACTAGACCCACAATAAAACGGAATGGCCGTCCAGTGCTTCCAGGTTTTCCATGGTGGTCCAGCTTCAATTGACTCATGATCTTAACCACTGAAATTACTATAATATCCACAATACCCATCTGAGATTAAATAATTATTCGTCTTTATTCTATTTCAATAAAATAACTGCTTATGCATAAAATATTGTCTGATATATTAAGGGTATAGACAATAACTGAAAATTTGAATACGTTTTTATTTAGTCTGTTATAAAAACAAAAAAGAAAACACTCCTAAAATAGGTTACATTTTTGGAAGAGAAATAATGATTGGGAAACTAAAGAATACACAACTTAAATTAATGCATGTCGCTTATTTTCATAAAGAATAACCTTCTACTTTACTCAAACGTTAACCTATTTAAAAAAAATTGATTTGAAGTTAAGTAGTGTGGTGCAACTTTTTTAATGTATTGTGCGAACAGTGTATATATATATGTCTGAAAATACCTGTGATTTTTCAACAGTGAATTTGTATTTATCAATATAAGGTTGCGGAGATTGTTGAGTTTTAATTGAGATCATGATTTGTTCAATGTTAGACTACCTTTGAAAACCCGGAAGCACTAGACATCCATTTCGTCTTAGTATGGGACTACTCTAGCATAGGGGACTCCGATCTAAGACCTTCAGTCTCATGTAAGAACACTTATGCTCTAGACCTCTGAGCAGGCATTTGACGGTTTTATTGTTTAATCTCAATCAATCCACAAAATTTCTCGACCATCATTCGTTGTTTTTTGTAGGTAACTGACTCGCACACGACACAATTGAACTCCACTGGTCATAGCTTCGCAATGGAACTCCGAGAAGTATCTCTCGAAACTAGTCACTAATGCGCACATGACAATTATCAGTATAGGGTTCATGATCTCAATAAAGACTTTGTATTCTTTCAAAATTTACTGTAATAACATGATTCATTTATTTTGTGGTTTCTCTTGTATCACCTACAATCTAGAGACAATAATTAATAATCATATATTATCATGTATAGATCATTTTTATCATACAGATGAATATTAGTAAACTGAATGCAGTATTCATGGACAAATTATAAAGTGTTCTAATGGTTGTATGTTTATTTGTTAACTCGTATATAAATACTAGAAGGAAAAATATAAAATCACATAAAGACGGGTTTTTTTATAATTATCTGATCACCAAGTAATGACAATCGTCAAGTATGTCAAGTCGTTCCTAGTGGTAATGAAATTCTATCGATCAAGAAAGTGAGAATTTATATTCGAAAATAATGTAACGGCGATCTTAAATATTGGGTAGTGTTATATCAAAAGAAGAATAAGTTATAAGTAACTTCTGGGAATTTTTCCGGACGGTTATTGTTGATATATCATTATTGTATAACCGTTAACTACAATTATATGTATTTACACTTCTTTTATCATCAGTTTCCAACTGACTTATTGGCTATTATTGTACGACTTACTATTCTTGAGTTATTCCCAATTTATTAATTACAGTCTCTCACACTAATAGCCACTTTTGACTTGATCTTGCATAATAATATTTTTTTAATTTATGGTATGATGCTGTTTGATTTGCTTGTATACAAAGTACGTATGTCTGACATAGATTATTCATACAATCGAGGTTAAGACTGCGTTCTGGACTCAACGGGCAGGGCTAGACGATAAAGATCGATAAGGATTCCGAATTGACGCAAGGTTTTTAGTGCTGCTTTGGTGTGTCATTGGTTTAACATAGGTCGTATAGATCTGGTTGAACTCCACTGGTAACGCCTTCTCAATAGAACTCCAGTAAATGCCTCTTGAAGTCAGTCACTAGTGAGCAAATGTTTACCCCTTCTGATAATAGTCATTTGCTCAATAGTGGTTGACTTCAAGAGGTATTTTCTGGAGTTCTAGTGAGAAGCCGTGACCAGTGGACTTCAACCAGTTCTGTGGTGAGATATCAACTCAATGAACACAATGGTATACAGTGGCGCGATTTCGTGGATTGGTTGAAGTTAGACATTAACACCGTTGCATGTCGGCTTAGTGGTTCAGTAGTTAAGCGCTGGCGTGCGAGGCTATTAGGTCCTGTGTTCGAATCACGCGGGGAGCAAGATCGTGCTTGTGCACTGCTGAAGAGTCTCATATTGGGGCGAAACGGCCATCCAGTGCTTCCAGGTTTTCCATGGTGGTCTAGCTTCAACTGACTCATGATTTCAACTATTGGAATTGTTACCATTGTTTCTGTTAAGTTAATTGTTTGTTTTTTATTCAAGTTTATCATTTGAAAAAGTTATATTAAAATGTATCATTAATGATCATTCAATTTCTTTTCTTTTTCTGCTTTATTTGTATCCTATTTCGTTGAATACAGTATTTCAGTTGTTTTTTTTCTGTCATATATTCATAGATGTTGTATTGTATATGTAACAGTCTGAAATAAGGTAGATTTCACTAATTATATAACTATATATTTATTAAATATGAAACGTTTTGAATGTATTAAATTCATAAAATAGAATGAAATGAAATTTGTATTTATACTTCTGAGAATGAAATCTTTTTAAAAAAACTTAATTTCAATAGTCAATGTAAATATTTCACTGAGGATCTGATCGAATTGATCTAAAAGTGATGTAAACTAGTAATAATAATAATAATAAATGTCTAATATATCAAGCTCTCTATCTATCTATCTATCTATCTCTGTGTAGTATATCAGGCTTAAATTAAATCAATTCATTAGGGAACAAATATGTCATACAATAATAATTAAATTTCAAATCATACAAACAAACAAAGTAGAATTTTCTAAATGTAATCAAAATAATTCTAATCTAAATATCATATCATTGAAGTATTGGTAATTATAATTGAAATATAACTATGTATTTGCACATATGTCAGTAGATGGGGAAAAAAGTGTTATCTGTAGTGTGTAGGAGTTGAATTAAATCAATATATATATGTTAATAGTGTAAGATATGAGCAGTATTAAACAGAGTTATTTGAAAAAAATGATCGATATTGGGTCGACAGTAATGTCTTCTTTCCCATTAAGTACAGTATAATTTAGCATTATAGGAAAAGCTCCAGCTAATTACCTTTATTTA